TCCCATCTCATATCGATCGCCTTAAACAAGTTCTCGAGTGCCTCACAAACGTCGGCTTGCAGTTAAACCTGAAGAAATGTCATTTTGGCGCCCGTCAGCTTACTATCCTAGGCCACGTCGTCTCCAAAGAAGGAATTTCGCCAGATCCTGCCAAACTTCGATCGGTTGCCGAATATCCCAAGCCTAGCACTCTAAAGGAACTCCAAAGCTTTATTGGGCTGTGTTCATAGTTTCGGCACTTCATCCGCTATTTCGCCTCCATTATATCCCCCTTGACACAGCTTCTCGCCGGCAGCAACGACCTCTCAGCTTGGAGTGCCGACTGCGATGAGTCATTTACGAAGCTTCGCCTACTCCTCACGTCTCCTCCAATTCTGCGCCACTATGACCCCAACGCACCTATAGAAATACACACGGACGCTAGCTGTGTCGGCATTGGCGGGGTACTCGCCCAGCGAAAACCAGACTTTGGCGAGTACGTTGTAGCATATGCCAGTCGTACCCTCACAAAGGTGGAATCAAATTACTCCGTCACAGAAAAGGAGTGTTTGGCAATTGTTTGGGCAATCAGTAAATTTCGCACCTACCTCTATGGGCACCGGTTTGATGTTGTTACCGACCACCACGCGCTATGCTGGCTGTCGTCCATGAAAGACCCGACTGGACGCCTGGCTTGCTGGGCTTTACGATTACAGGAGTATGATATACGTGCGATTCATCGCTCTGGACGAAAACACTCGGATGACGCCCTATCTCGATCGCCACTGCCTTCCGACACTGCCGGCTCACCAGCTTCCACTTGTTATTCATCATCTCTGACCATCACCGACATGCCGGAAGAACGATGCAAAGATCCCTGGATCGCTTTCCTGCTCGACATTTTGTCTCAACGGGCCCCAAACTCTGCCTCACGCACCCTACGTCGTCAAGTCCAACACTTCGCACTTCGTGAAGGCTTGCTGTATCGTCGCAATTACCTGACCGAAGGCTGCAGATGGCTCCTCGTGATCCCCCGTCATTTGCGCGCGGACATTTGCAGTGCCTTCCACGACGACCCTCAGTGCGGTCACGCTGGCTCGTTCAAGGCGTACTTGCGTCTTCACCTGAGGTACTACTGGCGAGGCATGTATCGATACGTTCGCCGGTACGTTCAGTCGTTTTCTGCGTGCCAACGTCGTAAGGTGCCTACTCACAGCACCGCTGGTCCTCTACAGCTATCGTCGTGCCCTGCCCAACCATTCGATCGTGTCAGAGTCGATCTCTTCGGTCCACTCCCGACCACTATTGACGGCAACCGCTGGATAATAGTCGCCATTGACCACCTCACGCGGTACGCAGAAACATCTGCGCTACCAGCCGCCACTGCGAAAGACGTCGCGTGGTTCCTTCTTCCTCATCTCATTCTGCACCATGGGGCCCCACCTGAATTACTCAGTGACCATGGCCGCGTCTTCCTCTCAAATGCCATCGAGGCTCTGCTCAAAGAATGCAGCATTGTACAACGCACCGCTTTCGCATACCATTCTCAGACTAACGGCATGACGGAACACTTCAATCGTACCCTTGCCGACATGCTGGCGATGTACATGTCAGAAGACCACACAAACTGGGACCGCGTACTTCCTTTCGTCACCTACGCTTACAACTGTGCGTCTCAAACTACCACTGGCTTCTCTTCTTTCTTTCTCCTGTATGGACGTGAACCTTCATGTTTTATGGACACCATTCTGCCGTACCAACCGGACGTCTCTGAGGGCAAACCCATCTCTCAAACTGCTGCTTACGCTGAAGAATGCCGTAAAATGGCTCGCTCGTACACCATGCAAGATCAGTCACACCAAAATTTCGTCATGACACAGCTGCGTCTGATGCCCATTACTCCCCGGAAAAGCTGGTTTGGCTTTGGGTCCCGTCCACAACTCTCGGACTTTCCACTAAGCTTTTTGTCACGGTACCACGGTCCTTACTGCATACTGGAGCAGACATCTCCCGTAAACTCTGTCGTCGAGCCGGTCAACCCATCGCCTGATCATCGCTGCCGAGGCTGCCTAACAGTTCACGTCACGCGACTTAAACCCTGTTACAACCCACTTATAGCGTCTTTTCCTCAAGTCACCGTTGCCAGGATGGCTCCTCTTTGTGCGGGGAGGAAATTGTACCGGTGCACATCGGCGCTAGCTCTGTGCCAGGGAGAGAAAAGACGACGAAGTTCGTGTGTCACGGTCTCGGCCTTTTGTTTTCTGTGCTGCAGCTGTCTTGCTTGCCCTGACGAGTTTCTTGCTGAAACTCCCCCGAAGAACATGCTTGTTACATTATATATATATATATATATATATATATATATATATATATATATATATATATATATATATATATATAATATATTATATATATATATACTGTACACTCGCATACAAGGCAAGTTAGGTGTATAAACCGAATATTCTGCCGCACATGCGTGCATGAGTGTTTAGACGTTAGCAGAACATGCGAAGGTTCAATAGCAATGTTATTTTCTGGTTTGAGTATATCTTAGAACACATACGAAAAGTCACACTGTAATATGCTCGAATGTGGCCTATCAGACCTTGGAACTGTGTTTGAATTTTTCATTAAAACGAACCTCTGCCTATTGAAAATTATCGTAGTGATCGACTCCGGCGATATCTGTTCCGGCGGGTACAAGTATAACCACTGCTTAAGCATTAATCCCGTCGCAAAGCCAACTTAAAACACTCGCAGCCGAGATTCCTGCCCAAAATCTCACAAAGTGTAAAGCCCTGAGAAACACCGCGACACGTTTTTCCGTATGCAGACATTATTCATTGTAAAAGCGTTGAGGAATGATATTGTGATAGTAGCAGAATATAGTTTCTCAATCATGTCAGAGCGGAGCCACAAAAAAAATTGAGTTGGATAACTGGCAGAGAGGGCGGGTGTTGGACGAAAAATTTTGGGGGAGGGGTTTGAACCCCCTATGGCTACGCCACTGCATAGTACACAGGCCACTAGCTTTTTACACCTATAGAAATGAAACTGTTGTAGCAGGGATCAAATACTTGTCTTTCAAGTCAGCAGCTGCGCACCATAACCACTGAGCCACAGCAGGAGTTCACGTCGAAGTTGGTGAGCATAATAGTAGCTTAAACTTTTTTTGCTTGAGTGCCAAATACTGTAGTAGCGGCATAACAGGGCTAAAATCATGTATAAGGCGACAGTGAAAGAAAACATGCATCACAAAGCACTTCCCTATGTGCACTCTTATATTGTAGTTATAATTCCGTCACGATGCTAAACAACCACACCAAGCAACCTACATTGTTATAGTACCAATAACTAGTTGTAACTGCATGGAGTGGTTTAGAGAAAATAGGTAAGGTCAGCAACTGAGAATAAACAAAGCTTCATGGAAACACAGCAGCATATTTACTCAGGATACATGTAGCTGAATATGATTTCTATACACAAGAGGAGGCTGACGATGACATAAACTACTACTCTTTCAGTGTTTGTGGATTATACATCATTTTAAAAACAAGAACAGAATATTTCTTGCAAAAAGAGCTGAACTTGTGAACCAAAAATAAGGAAGTGAAATTGCAATTTTCTAAGCTTGCTGTATTCACACACCAATAAGAGTACTAGAAGTGTTCTCCGAATCTTAGCTAACACACCTACAAGAACAACATCTTCCAGGCAAGAGCCACAGTCAACAGAAGTTCTCTTCTCAAGCATCACTTGCAAGATAAATAAAACCCCAATAATCTCCGAGCATCATGCCTAACAATAATGAGGCCTAGCATTATGCATAATTTTTTACATGAAAGAGCTGTTTTGGGATCTCAAGGTGGTCTTCTCATACGTCTTTCACTTTTGCACAATTTTTTAGCAGATCAGACAACTTTTTTCAGCAATAGTGACTACGATATTTACTCAGTTCTAACACACCTTTGATTTTTACACGTGTGCCAACTTTTATAGACCAAACTATATTTTGGATTACTTAGTTTCAAAATGAAACTAGTTTATTATGGAAGTGGTAGCTACTAAGTGTCATGGCAACAGTAAACATAATTCAATATGGTTACCAATTAGACGGCACTGAAATTTATATTACAAACTGAAGAAGAGTAGGTTTTATTGCTTTCAGACAAGAGATGTGCAGTAAATTTTTGTCACAAATATCACATGGAGAAACAAACCTAAGCAGTGGAGAGAAATGACACAGCGTTACCACTAACCACAGCATATAAGCTTCTTGATGCGCCAAGGGTGTCCCATAGCATCTTGTATCTCATAGAGTTAGTTGGTGTATGCAAAGGAACACACACAGCAATTTGTCTAAGCCAAGTGCCTTTACTGAAGAAATTACAAAAACTACAAAAGTGGAGAGACAGATTCAAGGAAAGTTAAAAGTTAAAACAGGAGCCACAAAAAATCTATCTGGTTTAGGAAAGGAATAATGCCCCTGACAGCATATATTTTTATATCGAAGTATTGAGGTAGCGCTAGTCACAAAATTCTGTATAAAACAGAACCAGTGAGTGATGTATCTGTAGATATCGTAGAGATGGCTGTAAAGAGCTGCCGACTCAACATGTGTTTCGCAGGAAACCCCAAGAAAAACTGCCTCTGCGTTAAAATGGAAACACCAGATTTTTCTGTAATGTAGCAAGGTCAGTGATTTCTTGTCAAGCTTTGAGGCTGCTATAGGTAAGATTTAGACCACTATAGTACACGGATGTAGAATAATAAATAAATTCTATCACTCACACGAACTACAGTATCATAAATCAGGAACTTTGAGATTAAAAGTCGAGATCCAAGATTGGGATGCCGCATGTGAGAAGTAGATACAGTGTAATATATTGCAATTTTAGTTTTGTATTTGGCTCAGGCTTTTAATATATTTTTTTAACACTGAATTTAATGCCCATGCAGCTCTGTCTATCTAAAGTACAAACTATTTGGACAGGTGTGTCCTCATGTTCTTAACTCACCTGGTCAGAAATCCTATCATAATAGCTTTCCGCAGTAACAACCTTGGTGCTCGGCATCCTGGCAACAATCTTGGCAAATGTTTCACATTTCTTCCAGTATTTCTCAGACACCACACCACCAGTGTCATCCACTGAAAAACAAGGCATACAGCAGATCTACATTCAAATCCAGATACCATACAATATCGAAAGGGAGTAGAAAATATTCGCGTGTGTCTTAATTTCACATCTAAACACCTACTGCTCAACAGTTAACTTTCCTGTCACGAGACCTAAATAAACTACCGATGTAATACACAGCTTGTCAACATGCTACCAAACAATGACTGTATAATTTGACAACTAATACAATGCAAGTAAAGGCTGCGTCAAGAGGTTCATGCTCCCGGTGAATCTATGTAAACTTTGGAGCAGAAGTTATCAAGAACATTTAAAGTAATTTTAAAAAATCCCAAATTAAGCTATATACAATTTACACAATGAATATTTTAACTAATGCTTCCAGAAATAGAAAATTAAAACATAAACACACCGAAAAATAGCATACTTTCTGCTGTAAAACATAAAAAGTTTTCGCTTTTGCCTTCAAGGTTTCTTGTCAATAGTAAGATGCCACAGATCCCACATTAACAGATTGAGGACAAATAAGTTGTAGCAGTTTGAGTGGCAAAACATGAAGCAGCATGTTTGCACTTGCCATAGCGCCTAAACTGCACTCTAGCATTGAATAAATCATTCACATAGCATTGGTGTGCATGTAACACTTATATAAACTTAGGACGCATGTGAAAGGTTTCATCATACCGGTGTACTACACACATAATCTGGAGCCGAACAACGAAGGTGTTCATAATGGCAACTACAACAAGATGGAAGTGCAATAAGATCTCATAGATAGTTCTGTACAATACCTTTTCCAGATGATATCTTTTTTTTCTTTTCCTGGCTAATGTAATTCCCCACAGGAGCAATACGGTTATAGCAATCACATTTTCACCTAATATTGGATAATATGATTACAGAAGTGGGCTTCTACGGGCATTTGTAACAATCTACAGCTGTATACTCCAGAGGACTGGCTCGAACAACATTTCAACAACCCACAAACAACATGTTACACACCAGCATCTATGCAGGTTTTGCAGCAACAGTACTAATAAATCCCTACTAGAAAGGGCACAGAGAGCGACATTTTGAAATGCCACCAAGTACACCCATTTTCATACTTCTTGGAGCATTGTCTAGGCTAATACAATTCAGAATGACATGCTTTATTTACCAGTTCTGCAAAGATCATATAAACGAGAACTCATTATAACTGATGTTCCACATAAAGCCAAGGTGCTAGTACTACATAAACCAAAATATAGAGCAATATGAAATTATCTATTGAAAGTTTTCATTTAAACAACTAAGGTAAAGTACTTAGAAAGATAACTGAACGTGCCCCTCGTTACTCAGAAACAAGTCTACTTGTGCAAGAAGCGATTCTGGTCCCCCAGAGCAGCGAGAGTGCAACAAAAACCTTCTGAGAAAGTGCATCTTATGAGCACACTGCACTGCCAACCTATATTAGCAAGAATAAAGACAACCACCACTTTTGTCCAACGCTGGCCCCTTTTATCTAGCTATGGCTAGATATTTAATTTAATTTAAAGTTTGTGCACCACGATTCTTTCCTCTAAAATGACACTTTTTTCTCACCGCTCCATGCATCGAATATGCCAAGAATAACTTGTGCGAGGCCTCCTTCGTGCAGCAGGCATTCTGTGAGGAGTTGCCCACAAACGCCTTTCAGCCAATGTGGAGTGTTTTTAGCACCTGAAACCTAGAGAATGTAAATGCCATCAGCATCACTTTCCAGTATAACCAAATTTGCTATGACAAAGGTCGTAAATATCAACCATTTCTCAAAAAATAGCAAACGATAAATGGAGCAGGCACGTCAATATTACATATGAGTATGCAAATATTCAAAAATTTTGAATAACAAATCGCATAGTGCATGTTTAAACTACCAAGTACTTTTCCCATAGTAAGTACAGACAGCAAAACCCCGAACTAACAAAACCTTTGAACAGTAAGGGATCGTCTTTTCTTATTTTAAATCTTGAATTACCAAGATGCATGCTACCAAGCTCGTAGGGAATATTGACGTTATATTGATCACTGGATAAAGACATTTTTGACATGTTGCCAATCCACTACCATCGCCATAAGATCGGTCATGGGACAGTGGGAATTGCAGCTCCGTTTGGATACGGAAGTGCAGTTTTTGAACATGCTTATATGACAAACAACAGATGCAAATGTTAAGTTGATGTCAATTATTTTGCAGGTGGGATAATCAACATTGATGGCGAATTCGGTTGGCCACTCTGGTCCTCTGGCTCAGAGTCACCAGATGCAGAGACAGCTCGCAATCGGAGCGCGAAAGGCAGTGTACCAACCGAATACATCGGCGATCTCAGAGCGCTTAGAGCAGAGCACCCGTAGCGCCACCATGTGAACAGCGCGGGAAGCTGCCATTAAAACATTGCTGCCCCACGTCAACAAATGGTGTCGATCAGTTCAGTAGACATCACTGACATGTCTGACCTTTCTTATACTCTTTCTTTCTCTCTCTCTCTCATATGTCTGGGCATAGCGAAAGCCTTCTTAGCTTAGCACATAAATTTGGCGATCGTCCTCGTCTGAACTTCAAGGCAGGCTGTCTGCGAGCTGCTGTAACGACAGCATTGACGTTTACTTCACCTTCGCTGGCCGCCTCATTATTTACATGGTGCATTTATGACTTTATAGATGTGAATTAGCCCCACACGTGCACAAAAACACCATTAACAACGCACAGGCACGAACTATTACACCCCCGGCGATGCCCTCATCCGAAATGCACGCTTGGGCTCCTCACTTCACCTCGTTCACCTGCCGGCAGCCACGTGATTGGCCGGCTTGTGTCATGTGATTCATCCTCTTGGTCAGATCGCGCCACGCTCCCGCTTTGAAGTCAGAGCGGTCGGCAGCGCTCCGAGTCAGAGGCCAACGCTCTGAAAGAGCCAACTGAAGGTAGTCCGAGCGCTCAAATACTACCAACTGAAGGCGCAGCAACTTTTCAGAGCGCTTTAAAACGCCCAACCGAATACGCCATGATATTTTCTTGCCTTTGGTACTAAGGCCCGTGATATTGATACAAGTCATCATTAACATCAACGAATTCACCATAAAGGCGACGAAGATGACGATTCAACAAAAGCTCGTGTTGTTGTTGCCACTTCGCCATCTTGGTTCAAAGACACTGTGTACTCCATGTACAATCTGTAAATATATTTCTACCCTCTGTCTACTCTCACCCCATGACATTTTGGTGGTGGTGCGGGGTAACAAGACGGAGCTACGCAGCGGCCGACGCTTTGTTTCTTCCACGATGGCACAAGAGGGTCCGGCTCCAGCTTCCGCAGCGGCCACCGCAACGACGACAGTTGTTCTGCCCCAGCTGAAAGACCCTGGCACGTTCTGCGGGACCGACAATGTCGACATTGAAGAATGATTGCCGCTGTACGAGTGAACAAGCAAGAATTATCGCTGGGACAAAAAGGCTCATGCTGGCGAACATCCTATTTCACCTGAAGGGGACAGCCAAAGTGTGGTTTGAAAACCACAAAGCGGAAATTGGCAGCTGGAATGCGTGCACTGTTCAGCAAATCAACTGGCAGGAAGACAGCGGCCAAGAAGAAGCTAGCATCTCGCGCTCCAACGTAATCGGAGTCGTACCAGCCTTACATACAGGATGTGCTCGCCCTTTGCCGCAAAGCAGACGACGACATGGAGGAGTCCGAGAAGGTAGCGAACATATTAAAAGGCATTGCCGATGACGCGTTCAATTTTCTAATTTGCAAGGAATGTGACACAGTAGATGCCATTATCCTAGAGTGCCAGCGTTTTGAGGCCGCCAAGAGCCGACGTATTTCCCATCAGTTCGCTCGACTTCCCAACACCACAGCAACATGGTCGTGTGAAGACATGCCTGTACCACAGGCACCCCTGACTGCAGAGCACGTCACGAAGATCATCCGTCGAGAACTTGAAGCTATGTCTCCCGCTTCAACTTTCTCTCGTGCCTGTGAGCCCAGCTCCCAAATGGTGCCTTTAGTGCATGCCATTGTCCACCAAGAGCTTTCAAACGTTGGCCTGGAATCTGTATGCACCGCCACCCCCTCCTGACCGACTGGCCGTCGTCCGCCAGTTTCCTACGCCCAAGGCCAGAGGCTCCCAGTGCGCTCTCGCAATCCCGCAGAGTGGAGGACTGCTGATGACTGGCCCATTTGCTTTAACTGTCATCGTGTTGGTCACATGGCACGCTATCGCAATAGCAAGTAGTATTGGTGTCAGCCTTCCTATGGCTACAACCGCCACGCAGAGGCAGATTATGGCCACTTCGGAACTCGCCACGAGTCGCCCAGGTGTCCGTCTGGACACCTGGGTCATTGGGCTTTAAAGCTACAGGAATATAGCTTTGACGTGACCTACAGGTCTGGCCGAATGTAAGAGGATGCCGACTGTCTATCTCGCCATCCTGTTGATCCCCCTGATCTGTCAGCGCACAATTCTGATGCCTGTGTCTTCGCCATTTCTGATTGCACGGAAATACGTAGAGAACAAACAACTCAGTGATGCTAATTTGTAGTCTATCATACGCGGTGTAGCTTCTGACACCTCGGATCCTTCTCTTCGCCTGTTCACGCTTCATGACAGAATTCTCTATCGGCGCAACAAGAGCACTGAAGGCCCAGAACTATTTCTGGTAGTTCCTGCAATGCTCCGTTACATTGTGCTCGAACAACTTCATGATGCCCCAACTGCTGGACATTTCGGAGCAGCCCGCACGTATCACCGCGTACGGCGTCGATTCTTCTGGCCCGGCCACTACCGCTCTGTGCACCGATATGTTGCATCTTTTTGAGTCTTGCCAGCACCGCAAGCAACCTTCATTGGCACCACCTGGGCCACTTCAGCCAATCGACATTCCGACAGACCCGTTCTACCACGTCGGCCTCGATCTCATTGAACCATTTCCAACGTCTCTGAGTGGGAATAAGTGGGTAGTGATGGCAAAAGACTACACGACACGCTTTGTCGTCATGAGAGCGCTACCAAAAAGCTGTGCTACTGATGTCGCGGACTTTCTCCTTCATGACATTCTCCATCATGGAGCGCCACGTGAACTGCTGACCGACCGTGGTCTATCATTTCTCTCCAAGGTCGTAGACGACATTCTTCGCTCGTGTTCCACAGGTCATAAACTCACTACTGCCTACCACCCGCAAACAAATGGACTCACTGAGCGCCTTAACCACACACCGACAACAATGCTATCCATGTATGTCTCCGCAGATCATCGTGATTGGGATGCCACTTTGCCGTTCGTGACGTTTGCATACAACTCGTCACAACACGACACCACTGGCTTTTCTCCCTTCTATCTCTTGTACGGCCGTCACCCCACTTTGCCTTTTGACACTCTTCTGCCGTCGCATACTGACACTCCTACCGAGTACGCTAACGATGCAACTACTCAGCTCGAGCAGCCCACCAGATTGCCCAGAATCGCCTTTCGGCCTCGCAACTATCTCAAAAATATCGCGACGACAGCCGTTACAGAGCTGTCTCTTACTCCCCAGGATCGTTGGTCTAGCTCTGAATTCCCTCCCGTCACGTTGGCCTATCCTCGAAGTTCTTCACTCGCTACAACGGGCCTTACAAAGTCTTGCGCCAATTGACCGAGGTGACCTATGAGATTACCTCCTTGGACACTCCATCCTCATCGTCTCTGCCGTCCACTGATATTGTACACATCGCCCGCCTTAAGCCGTACTTCTCTGCCCAGGATCGCATGCTTTCTTAAGCACCGAGATGGCGCTTTCACCGGTGGCGGCTATACGATACAAGTCATCATTAACATCAACGAATGCCCCATAAAGGCGACAAAGATGACGATTAAACAAAAGCTTGTGTTGTTGTTGCCACTCCACCATCTTGGTTCAAGGACACCGTGTACTCCGTGTACAATCTGTAAATATATTTCTATCCTCTGCCTACTCTCACCCCGTGACAATATAGTAACTGGTTGATGTTTCTTTTTTCCATTGTTTATCTGCATGTGCAGTGTACAGCTCAACATTGCTTAATTACTATGCCTCAGTTTTATTCAAAGGATCACGACAAAGAGCCACTTTGCATACTGTAGTCATTTCTGTATCTCAATGTATAGCAATGTATAGCTACAAATCATTGCTAAATGCTCTAGTCGGCAATGCATATGACTTTACCTTTGAATAGATAATTTGTACACAAAACTAAACATACATATATATAAAAAGCTTATACATACATTGGTACACATACATATTCAAAAGTACAAAACAAAATTACAACACAATGCACACATAAAAAAACAGGAAAGTACACGTCAACCACATGGTCACAAGTTTTACAGTGCAGGTAGAGAATTCCAATCTGAAATGGTGCGTGGAAAAAAGTAAAACTTATATGTGTCTGTTACAACATAGATAGGTATTAGTGCATCAGAGTGACGGCGCTGTGTCTGCATTGTGGAAAAAGGGCTTAAAAGAAGTATAGGATCAAGAATGAACTTGTGGTAAATCATATTATGTAAAAAATCCAAAAAGTACATGTCTTCAAGTTTAAGAGAAGGAATGTCGTTAGCCAACATTAGTTGTGATGGTGGAGTCTATACATTTGTATTTAGAAGAAATGAAAGAACCAACTTTCTTGTATTCTATAAAAATCAATTTTTGTATGCAGATCCCATGCGACCCAGGCATATTATAGTTTTG